TCTCTGGTCGTTGGGAAAAGCTGCGCAAGGGCATGCTTTGCCAAAATCTTGTGGCAAGCATGCCCTCGCGTCTTAATGCAGCCGTGGACAAGGTAGGATTATTGGACGAGGTTCTAACCTCTCCCCACCATCTGCGTTTTTTTTTTTGTTTATACCGTTATGTAATGTTATGTTCTGTTAATGAAACATCGAAGTATTGATTAATTGCTATGTTCTGTTAACAAATCATCGAAGTATTGATTAATTGCTATGTTCTGTTAACAAGTTGTTTGTAACTTGAGTTAATAAATATATTTAATTATTTCTAATCTGTGTGTTTTGCAAAATAGTCATAAAATCGTTGCACAATTAATTGTTATAACAGTTAATATAACTGTTTCTTGACGATAATGTGCATTGCTTGCAGATTGATCGCTTAGATATACTTGTTATCTCTGATTCACGAATCTGATATAGGTGGGTAACGAGTCATGGCCAATACGCTTTATGCAGGGTGTGACCAACAAGAATGGCCAATCAAGCAAGTAGAACAAGGTGTGGCTAATACCTTTTAACAAATCATGTTCAAGGAAATATCCCAATGTTTTATTGGATAATAAAAATCCAATACATTTCGTGTTTTGTCTGTCAACTTGCAAAACGTACTCAGTAAGCAATAAAGTGGAGAGTTTGCGAAAAGGAGAGTGGAAAGCTGCCGTTCGTAGATTAGATCACATGATATTTAAAACATAAATAAAAACATGTAAAATAAAATTAAAAAATATAAAAATAATTATAACGTAAGTAGTATAGAATTAAATGAATGACGTATCATGTGATACGTGAATACTTACAAAATATAAAAGGTCGACTCGAAAATAATGTGAATTTAAAAAGTAATAAAAAAAATTTGAATACAATGAGATCTGTTTATAAAATGGCAATATATTTTATTAATATATATATATAATGACGAAGAAGAGATGTGAAAACATTTTTTGCATACTTGAACTCTCAATAAATATTTATTCATTATACAAACAACGGAATGTTCATTGCAATTTTAATTCATAAACTTTATACAAGTGTAATTTATAACAAATCGATTTAGAACATGATAAAAACAATTTTATAACTGAGGCAGAAATAAATTATAAAAAATGTATTAACAGTAAACAGTTCTGACAAAACTGATTCTTAAATATCAAGGACAACATTCTGTTCAATAGAATTAAACAGTAACCTTGACATCTGACCCGCCTCCAACAAGGAAGGGAGTTCTTGTTTACAGAGTAACGTGATACTTCGCACATTGTTGTCATTAAGGGTGGGTGTGAATGGCAGCTCACTTGACACCCTGTTGTGAAAGTAGTAAACTTTAACCGACCTTGACAAAAGTGTCTAGTTTCTAAGAATAACAAGTGGGGAGAAGTTCTTTAAACGGTAATAAAAAGCGGTTCATTAAGGGACTGTCCCGCTCTACTGGTATTACTGCAATAGCAATAAACAATTAACACAGGACTTTAAAACACGGTCAATTCCTATCGGATTACAAAGGCACCGACGACAATCGGTGAAAGTTGAGATTAATCTATTGGCAAGAGAAAGCTGATCTGTTTATTTTAAAGGTGTATCGTCTCTAATTACAGGAAAATAAAGGAAATAAAACATTAAAAATAAAGAAAAGTATCAAAATAACAAATAGAATCATAATTTGTGATAATAAGGGCCACGATTTTATGATTTTAAAATAAAAACGGCAAACGCTAAGCAAGCATTGATGAGCGACTAGTAATGTCAACCCATATCACGCTTGACTGCACACAGCAGTCCCTCTGGCTCGATTTCCTCGCCCCTATTACGGCGCAAATCGGACTAGTCCATTCTAAACGCCTTTGATACCAGGTAGGACATCCTGGCTTATCAAGTGATCTGCTTCCGCCCATGCGCAATCGATCGTCTGTTAGACAAGAATTATGGACGGATGTGTACAATTTGGATTTCCTTCATCTCTCTCCATGAGTCAGGCATTCTGTAATGTAGGCGTTGAAGGGTGCCGGCAGATTTTCACCTGCTCTGCTGGGGAAGCTGCACAGCTATCCACTGGGATTTTGGTGTATGTTCCTCCTAGTTCCATGTCAGAAGGCTGGCCTTCTGACTCTGATATTGTCAAGGTGAGCCCTGCATTCTTTCTTGCCCCTTTTTTCTTTTTTGAAGGTCTCGGTGACTGAATCTGCCCCTCCACTTGGGGCAGGCATTTGAATGTTGAGTTAGCCAACGCTGTTTGAATCTGAGGATCCTCTGATTCAGCCTGTAGTGTCTCGTGAATCTCTATTTGGGGATTCCTCCTGTTAGACCGTCAAATTTGACTGAGTACAGCTCTTAACGCTTAAATTATCACGGCATTTCATTCATTTGTATATAATCCGATTATTTACGAACACGAACCAATCAGAAAAAGGTGTGTACTTTCTTTAAATCTGTTTGGTGAAATTTTGGAAAAAATATAACATTATAAATGCCATGGGCAATATCAGCTTCCCTTGGCAAGAATTAACTGATAAATTCACGAATAAAGTGTGGAAGAAGTTATGGCTGAAGGTATCCAAGAATTCTCAACAAGAAGAGCCTATTGCTGTAATGTTAGGTTGACCAAACTCAACCTAATCAATACAGCAGGACTAGGAGATGTAGACGAGCAGGATATTGAGGTTATAGCAGGTTTCTGGTGAGAGCGTTACCAATGACAACCTTCAAGAACAGGCAGAACAAGGAATTCATGTAGAACTGGAAAATAGAGATTCTGAAAATGAAGAACCCAAAAAATTTCTTTACAAATTTCCTTAGTAAAAAGTTTGGTAACAATAATCGAAATCGTTGATCAAATTGTAGCAAATGATTTAGATTTTGAAAGGAGTGTGAGGTTTTTTGGATGCAATCTTCTGTTACTGACATTTGCTTAAGAACGAAGAATGCAACAAATGAAACTTCACGACTTTATTGCAAAAAAACAAAAATTTCGGAAGAGCCAGAACCTTGTCACAAAAAATGAACTTTAATTTTTCTGTGTGCATATGTTTGTATATTATTATACAAATTATTATAAAAATAACTTAAAATTAAAGTAAAATTTGTTTATTTTTGGTTGCGTGTTTCCCTATCCCTATTTACTCTATGTTAAAATGACCTCATTTAACGCAGTTTCGTTTAGTGCTTTGTCGTCTAGGAACGCATCCCCCCACATTAAGCGGGGTCTTACTGTACATAAATTTGGAAAGACAGTGTGATGCACACTTACAAGTCAACACTTACAACTCAACACAGATTCATGTTTTTGCAGAAAGAAAATGTATAAGGTAATCCACTCCTAGTTCAATAGCTTCTGATGTATCAAACACAACTGCTGAATGCTACTCCTTGTGGTGAATATCCTGACTTTTGTGTATTTTTCTCAAGAAGTGTATTTGATATGATTGATGTAATAAAATTTTGCTGTGTATATTTGAAAACATCAATCTGATGTTATTCATTATAGTAAATATCACTCTAAAGGTGTTACTCATTATAGTAAAAACATCACTGAAAATTTACCTAGATTTGTTTTTGTTTTATAGTACAATAGCTCTTTCCTTATGTTGTACCTCATTATATTGTTTGTTTGGATATATGCATTTTTCCTTCAAATATAAAAGTATCAATACTTTAACCAATAATTTTTTAAAAAATTGGTTGCCATTGAATTTCTACTGGAAAAAAATATTATTTTACTCCATTCATTGACCCTGAAATTAGCACTGTATGAAATACAACCCATAAGAAAGTAACTCTGCATAGACATCAAAAATAGACAAAACAGACAGATAGATAGATTGTTTATATCATGTTATCGCTTGTTTGGTTTGTCTTTCAACATGCACAATGTAGGAGGGACTTACTGTACCTTCCAACATCCAGTTCCGTGCAAAATAAAATTATTCTATATGTGACCGGAGAGTCGGCACCTCTTTAGTGCTTCTTCAGAACTGACACCACTGTCTCCCAATTGACACAGAAGCCAAGACAGTATATTGATTCGGTCACACGAGCAGCTGTGCACAAGTGATCGGATCCAGGATGGAGATGGGTTGAGAGACAGTGCAATGGAAGTATTACACTCAGACTCTAGGATTAACAACAAATAACCATCTAATAATCACAAAAAAAAGCTACAGATACATATCGTAGTATCAGATTTACCAACCTATTTAACGGAGTGGTCACGAGAGAGAGAGTTCACATGAAATACGCATGAGGATAAATACCTTGTAGAGGATCTTGGTTACATGATTTGAGGGTAGCTGATCTTATAGGAGTTCTTGATCTGATGTGGGTTGGTCTGGAGGGAAGGAAGAAAGTTTTGGAGGACAGTTCTTATTCTGACAAAAGATGTGTACAATAGATAGGCCATGGGCAAGGAGGTATCCGAAAATGATGTATTCTAAAGAGCACAGGGACAAAGAGAACATTGGACTAATAGCCAATTAGAACAGAAGTGGTTCGATTGAGGAACTGGTGACGACTGCCTAAACTTGCAATTTCTCGCTATATTGACTTGGAGAAATCGAGTTAGTAGGTCGGAAGGTTATGAGAAAGTGTTGTTTTTGCTACTGAGAACGTAACAAATGATTTACTCTCAGTGTGAAAGTTGATGTTACAACATTAAATTGCTTATATTGAAGTTCGATTTCTCACATCTATATATCATATATAAATTACATAATATTTTTATAATTAGTCTTATTGCAGCCCAGTTAAAATCCTATGGTATTGTTTGTTTATTACTATATATCAGACTTGGTTTATATGTAATTAAATTTAAATCTTTTAAAATTTGCTATTCAAATTTTCTTCATGTTATATTTAATTCAATAATTATTAATTAATGTAATATTTTTAGTCTCTTTAATAATAATAAATTTTTAAAATATTTATATCTTAATACATATTAGCAAGTAGTAATATTTTTAATCTTTATTTCAAAGTGTCCACTGAAGAAGAAAAATCAGAAGAACAGTTAAAATCATTCAAAGATTCTTTAAAGATGATTACCGATAAGGATCAAAATTTGCCCAATATGTATGATATTGTTCTGCCTTTACCTGGAAATTCTGTTACATATCCTGACAATAAAGGTATTTAAAATATTTATTTTATATTTTTAGTATTTGCAAACCTTTAACTGATAGTATTGTTGAACAGTTTGTCAAAAATATAAAGAATTATTAGAAAAGCAGGGATTGAATTTTTCAAGTTTCACTTCGAAAGTTAAGTAAGTGTTGCATTTTCATTGTTACATGTGCATCTATGTCTATGAAAAATGTAATTTTGAATTATTTACAGAACTTATTCTCTTGGCGGTGACTATCGTCATTTAATTGTAAAGCCAAGAAATGTTCAGTGGGCTGTAATAAATTATAGTGATCCTACGCAATCACTTTTACTAAGTGACTTAGATAGGATCCAAGAGATTACATTACCAGAATCAAGTATGTAACTTTGTTTTTAATGTAAAGATTTTAAGATATTATAAATGTATTCTGACTTTAAAATCTTTTGTAAACTGTTATGATACATCAGAAAGTTGTCATGATAATTCTTAAACAATTATTACAATTTAATTATACACTCCACCTATTGTAATGATGGATGATGTTATTGATCATTTATTCTTATGGAAATTAGCAAGTTCCAAAACATCAAAGTTAAAATATATTATAAAAACTTCATTTGTTATAGTCAGAATTTGGAGGTGGTGATCATTATTTTTAGGTAAATAAGTCATTCTATTCTCTCTTCTTGCTATAACCTCCAATTTACAGCTGAAAACTGGCAATCGTTATCATTAGGTTTTGACCATGCAGATGCAAGTGATAAATTTTCTGGCATGAGATGTTAATGAGCAAGTGAATATAATGATATTTAGATTATGGTGTTTCTTGCTCTTGCTAACATTGTCATACAGTAGCATGAATTTTTCAAATTTTTTTAGAAAAAAAAATGGATTTACCTATTCAACATTTACTATTTATTTTGGTGATTATTTAATTGCTTATCCCAAAATATGGGATAAGTTATAACTGAATTAATGAATTTTTTTAAAGAAAACTTTGATTATTTTTTTTCTGCCCATATACACCGAAGAAGCCATGTTTGAATTGTACATGTCCAAAACAATGTAAGGAGTTGTCTTAACCAGTGCTTTAGACATTAAATGTGTATTGTTTTAATTGTTATTTGACCACAATACAATAGTTTAAATTGCTGGCATTCCAGTGACTAGTTAAAGTTGGTAGCAGACAAAAAATGCTGGATGTTGAAATATATCTTAATTAATTGTTTATTATTATTATAATTAATAAATTTTAAAACAATTAAAAATGCATAACTTGAAATTGTCCTTTTAATGTTAGTCAATATAACCAAAATTTCCTCTAACTTTATTCTTATTTAATTACCTCACTTAACACTATCACATAAGTAATTCATATACGATTCCCTACTTAAAACTTTTACTTATGAACAATTTGGCCATATGTCTAAAATTTAAATTTTTCACAGATTATGAAGTTCTCTTCATTGAAGTCAGTCCTTGGCCAGTAATCAATAATACATTTTTAATAAATATTTGATGTGGATTTATTTTTATTGTGTATTGTCATTTTTTGTTTTCATGCAAATTCTGACATTGTGTTTCCACTGGTGAGGTGGTATTGAAGTTGGTAAAGTTGGATAATAGTGTTTTTTGCTGCTGTTTGCAATTTTTATAAACTTTCATGATTAGTGATTCAAAAATGCATCCAAAACAATAAAAATAAATGTAGCAGTGGAGATAAATGCAAAAATTGTTGCTCTTTTACCATGGAAACTAAACTTCATTATTGAACTAAGTGTATTAGGTGAAAAAAAAAAAACAAGTTGGAAACACCTACTACTAAGCACTAGCAAGTAGATAAACGAGAAAAATGTATTCTATTAAGTACATTGAAGGGCCAAACATTAACAAGGTGTGGTTATTTTGTGTACAAATGTACTTTCTAGGTGTTTTTGACTTCAAACATTTTGACTTATGATTAAACCTCTGAAACCTAATTTGTTCATTGGGAACACATATAGGCAAATCCCAAAGGAATTACAATAAGTGGAGACTGTTATTACACAATCTTTTAGTTCAGATTTGTTGGTGTCTTACATCAGTTAAATATGGATCAAGAAAAATGATTTAATTACAAAAAATTTTTTTTTAGAAATTACTTTGACAAGACAGTTTAGTAGTATGATACCAATACTTGAGGTTTCTTGTGTGATGGGTCATGTATTTTGGCTTTCAAAAAAGTAGTATTGTGTATCTAGCATATTTCACAAAGAGAACATTTATTTATGATATAATACTTCTAATTTATATGAGTAAATATCTATATAATAGAATTTTTTGAATTAGCTTTGAATGAGTTTTACATTTAGTCTAATCATGTTGAACATTATGAAATACCTGGAATGTCATTATAATTGTGTTTATCATCAAGGATCTGTTGCTACTGATCAGACTTACTAAAATGGCTTTAGCATTGAATGAATATTATAAGACTAGAATTTAATTCATGATTTATTCTCTGTAAAGAAATACATTTATCAAGATAAATCACTAGCATAGCATATAAAATTAAACTTTTATGACAAGTAATTCAAAAAAATAACAAAAAATTTTTATTTTGAAACTCTTATTATGTTATATTTAAAATATCTTCCAACTTAATTACCAGTGCTAATGACGTTTGAAGAACCTTTATGTCTGGTAACAAAAGAAAGTTTAATAAATTGTCCAACAAATGCTTTTGACCTTACTCAAGGTCTGCATCAGGTTAAGAGTACAATCCAATTCCAAAATCGGAATGCTTGGAACAGAACAATTTTAAAAAGGTTAAATTTGAAAACCTTTGAACATAAAATATCGACTGAAACTTAACGATTGCAAAAGCATGAGAACTAAAAATTATACATAATGCAACATGTGTGCCTATTATTTGTGAATCTGGTATAAACAGTATACATTTAATGTGTGTTATATTATATTAACTAAAATATGATCAGAGTAGCTAGATTATAATGTAGATTTCAGAAATTTTTTAGATAAAATGATATTTATAATTTAAAAATAAATACAGATTTATGTTTATCATAATATCCTTTATAAGAAATATATGAAGATTTTTTGATAAAATACACTGATTAAATATTTTAAGACAAAGTCCACCCAAATAGGGACCACCATATATTAATTTCGTGTTCCAGACTATACAATCTTGGCGACAAACCTTTCAGAAAACCTCTGCTTTCCTTTTTCATAAAATCTTTGTATTTTTAATTGGAGTTTTAATTGGATAAATTTTTGTGTTTTTAAAAGGAGTTTTCAGTGTTTTGGCAGCTAGTAGCCTAGAAAGAAAGGTCAGTCACCGAGATTGTATAGTCTGGAACACAAAATTAATAAATGCCCTATTTGGACAGACTTTGTTTTAAAATATTTAACTACAATAAGATCCATAAAATGAAAAAACTACAAATTAGAAAATACACTGAAATAAAGTCATCAATAAAGTGTTTTTATCAAAAGTTTTGATCTCTTTCTTTTCAGTGCTCTTATTTAGAAGTAAAATTAAAGTGCTACATTTTGCTTCAATCAACTTACCTTTATTTACTTCTCTATAAAATCATCTTTCTGATTGATAAATGTTTTTCTGTCATTGTGGACATTTGAAAATTTGCTCTGGAAATCTGTTAAAACAAAGAACAACTCTGACTCTGAAGTTTACATAATGCTGATATTTTTATAATGCATTTGCTCTTTTAAATGAGAAAACAAATTAATCTGAAAGAATCATATTTTGACTATATAGTAAGTCAAGTTTCTGATTATTAACATTAATGAAGAAACCTAACAAGAGTAATCTTTGTTATATCCTAAACACTGTTGTTTTTTTCACTGTGCAGTGATAAACTCTAAAATGTGTTGCACTCTCCAACATTACATGTTTATTTTCTCTTATGAGAGCGTTGAGGTTATCTATCTTAGAATTAGAGCAGTCATTACAGAACTCATCTATAATGTCTGTTTTATCATCATTCTTTAACTCATTGTCTGTTATTCGGAGACTAAATGCTTGCAAACTTCTCAATATGCATAATTCATTATTTTAGTCTTTGAATATCAGCTGACAGAATTTTCATAATTGGGAATTCAGTTACTGCATGCTCTCAGTATGATATTGCCCCTCTACCTTCGAATATTATTTTATTACCTTGCGGCTGACACTGTAATAATTTATTTTGCAGTAAATGCATTAATGTAACATTTGTCACTACTAGTTATATACATTACCCATTATTTTGTTGCTGATGGTTTATTTGTGATACAATGGTCATTACTTTTGATACAATCTTTATACATACTTACATGCATTTGTATAAATTTTTACAACTCTGTCATGTAGACAAGCTGAAAGTGATTTTATTATAAATGTTTTTCCCTTTTTAATACTAAGGGAATATTCCATAAAACATTGTGGGTTTTCTGGGTGCACAATGACTAGCTAGATAGTAAAATATAAGGTTTACTTGTAAGATGACTGAGATGAAAATTTTCATCTCAGCTATCTTACAAGTAATGTGTGGGAAATTAAAATGTTAGTTTCTGAAATGATAAAATTATATTAAGGAAAACATGCAATTAGGAAGAATACAACACTCATAAAATATTGACTCTAGTATTGACTTGAAAAAATGAAGTTTCACTTGTGATATTTCATTTTTTCATTGTGTGAAGTGCTGATAGACAAAACAGTAAAAGTGTTACTTAGTGTTGTGCTGCATACCTATACTATTTGTTGGTAATTGATATATTTATGTTGTTTTTATTCAATTTTCTATAATAGTGGTGTGTTTGAAACTAGTGTTTTTTTTTTTTTTTTTTTCAATTACACATCTTATTAGTGTATTCTATAATCTTCAATATTAACCATTTGTAGTTTAAACCTTTGTAGCAGCTAAATTACAAACTTCTTTGTGTATAGAATTCATTTTTAATAGATAGAAATGTGAATTTACAAGTATTCATGTTGTGTGTATTTCTTAATATTGAAACATTCAATGTGACTTTAAACTTTCACAATACTTTTGCCCATTTCTACATTTGATATGTAACTTTTTAAGTTTAATTCTATGAAAATTCTATTAAAATATTCTTTAGATTAGATTTAATTTGTTTAAAATTTTTAATATTCACTTAATTATAAAGTTTGAATTTTACAGTTGGAGAACGGAGAGCACTGAAAATTGAATTTTCCTTGCCCGTGTCATCATATGCAACAATGGCAATAAGAGAGATATTAAAAATTGAGACAACTTCTTGGAGAAATTCCCTGGAACAGTAGCATAAATTTTTTTTCTATAATATACAAATTAAATTTGTTATAAATATATACTAGGAAAAAAATAAAAATTTTATGAATTTTATATATTTAAAATTATTATATTGTCTAAGCTTTAATCAATTTTACTCTGATGTTCACTTGAAACTTTATCTTATTTAAAATAAAATTCCTGTTTTTCATAGTCACTACTTAAATGTAAATAAGATTACTTTTATCTTAAATAATTCAGAAACATAGTTTAAATTGTTTGATTCTAGACAACCCATTTAAAATTTAAAGCAGTCAATTTGTAGACTCTTTCTTTTACTTGGATAAACAATATGCCTTTAATTTTCTAGTATTTAATCTATATTTCAAACTAGTACTTTCAATCCCTTGAGAGGATTATCTTTGGGTTCAGCAGCACATAGCATGGATGAAAGGGATATGGCATGGGGAAATATGGCATGGGGAAATATGTGGACTGGCACTGATGCCTATGAATATAGAGGGAGAAAGTTGACCAGGTGATTATTTTCCCACATCATGAATTAAGTACATAGAAACAATATTTAATATTATTTAAACTGTAAGGATCTGATACCTTGTGTAAGGAAAGTATCGTCATCAACAGTCTGCCTTGGTGGGAGGCAGAGACACTCGCCTTTCTGAAACTTAGGATGATGCAAGAGTCATTTGTACAGTACATATTGGGGTGTGAGTTTAATGATTCTTGAATGATGGTAAAAACAATCTTAAATTTCTAATACCTAAAAATAAAAAAATATTCTGGTAAAAAAAACTAAAAGTGTATAGATACTTTTAAGGAACTCAGAGAAAAATATCACAAAAGTGATGCATAAGACTAGTAAAAAAATAAGTGTTTCATTCTCTTAAATATTGAAACCACTTATTTAAGGAAACCCAAACACCGAAAAATTTATTGAAAAGTTTTTATTGGGTATGTGTGAGATCGGCCACGGGTATAGGGTTGATCCTATACCTCTTACGGGCTCAGATTAACCAAAATCTGTTCTCTGAGTTTTGGATCGAGAGATCCGATCCTAATCAGGATTTTGACCGGGAGGGCTTTTTAATATTAGAGAGGATATAGACGGCAAAGTCTTTATCCAATGTCAGGATTCGTGACACCAGTTTGTCAATTAAATTCCGCGGACAAACACGTGTGTGAGATCTGATTCAGACACAAATTAAGAGTCATTTCATTTGATAAACAAACGACAATAAATTTAATAAGACATAAGAAAATAAAAACTAATACAAAATATCAAATGAAGGAATGATATAACTACTACAATTAACATACACATCGAGAGATATATGACCCTATTTTAACCGATACAAGATCGAGAGAGAGATTACAATATCGTTATAAAACATACAACCTGGTTTAGTTGTCGTTCGTCTTCTCTCTGTAGGCAGGGCCATTTTGGAGATAAAGTTCATTTACTTCTTTCCATGGGAGATCGATAGGTGCACAAAATCAAAGTAAATTTCCTAACTGTTAACTCTGGGATTACTCTATGTGACTTGTCTAAGGGCATTGGTCATCAGGAGGAAAACATGTGGAGTCTGGACACTTTCAGGTCTGTCGATGAACTCCCCGAATTTTGGAAAATTTCCCCTATATCTCATGATTTACGACCAATCATCTGCCAGAAACTCTTTCATGTGAACGGATGAAAGGGGAATCAAAGAGGGGTAGATAGTTCTCATCTGAGCGAGATTTTTAGCGGATAAGGGAAAAACAGAGGATGTACCAACTTCTCTCAAAGGAAGTAGCATCTGTTATCTATCTTTCCCACGTTGGAAAACGTTAATTTCTCGCAAAATGAAATAATATTTTATGACAATATTTAACATTATTAATAAAATTACTGTTTTAGACCCAGGGGCCTTTCAGATCTCACAGTATGCCATTAAAAATTTCTTGGTGTTCCATTGATGTAGGTATGTAAGTTTGATTTGCCATTAAGTTTTAATTTTTATAATAAAAGTTTAGATCATCTGGCACCAGCTCAGGAAATTTCTTAACTTTCCAACGTTTCCATCTGCCACTGGCATACAATATAGATTATATAAATTTAAAATATATAACAGAAGATGTGTTAAATTTGTATAATTTATTTCACATACTGAATCTGAAGTGATCCTTTGGAAGAACTGAAATTGCTAGTTTGAAATACAGAATGAATTCTGGATAATTAAAGGAGTATTTTTTGTTGTGACTATTCCATTTTCATTAGAATACATATAAATAAATAATAATAAATATTAAGACAGTATTTCAACTGGTCTGAGTGATCACTCTACAGAAATTGTCTATTTCAGTTATATTTAGGCTGATAGTAATCATTTAGATATCTGATGCTGCCTAAGAAAAAAGAACCCAACTAAAGATTTTCTTCAGTAATTTTAAAATTGTATAAACAGTATGCTACAGACTAAATATTTCTATTAAAATATCAGCACTTGTATGTCCAGCAAACTAATTTTACTACACACTAACATTTTCAGTCATGTTTAACAATTTTTTTCAAGCAGTCTAGAACATAATCTTTACTTACGGAGGTTTTAAAAATAAATTTTTATTTTAGATAATTAGTTTGCTATATAATCATTACAATGTTTTGGCATTTGAACTATATTTAGGTCAATATATTGCAGATAGTATAGGTTAGGGCTCTGTAGATCCATTGCCTATGCTGAAATTATAACCAATTATATAACTTTAATATGCTGGAATCTCACATTAACTAATCACTTAAGTAATTAAGACATTATAGGGACCAAAAAGGACTTATTGTTTGCATACAAGAAAATTATAATAATTAAAATTTATATTATTATATAACTTGTGATTTTTGTAAGTTATTTATTGATCTAAAATACTGAATAGTTGCTATATAAGTCACATTTCTACAAAGTTCATATTTACAAGATTGCATTCTAGGTTTCACAATTAGAGGATATCTCAGCTCCAAATTTAGTGTTGACGGATTAGATATGGATTTAATATAGTGCAGCATCTAAGAAATCCAGATTGACACATGCTTTAGAATATTATGAAAGAAACTTTTTTAATTCACCTCTACCACAGTTTATGATCAAACAAGCTATTTAATGACTACCATTGGATAACATGGAAGATGTCTGGTAGAACATGGAAAAATCTTAAATTTTATGGAGGCAATGGACTAGCATTAGCTGATATATATCTGCATACTCTCTCCATAATAATTTTAAAAGTTAATTTTTTAATGAATTTACCTAATTTTTAATGCTGTCAAAAATTAGAAACTAAGCATTACAGTCAGAGTTATTGAAACTTCAAGTGTGTCAACTGTTTTATATTCTATTTTCTTTATCTCATACTCAAAAATAGCCTCCTGATTTGTACATTTTAACTTGATTTATTTGTAAGAATGAAACTGGAATAAGAGAACTCCATCAAGATTTCATGATTGATTAAGATATCATTCATTAATTGGCATTAACCTTATTTTAGTAGGATAAATAATACCGTAAAGCTGAAGATTTAAAGTGAGAAATTTCATTTTTAACACAATCAGCAATTACCATTACTATACTTAAAAATCTAATTTGGATGTAATTTGAAAAATTTGTAGACATAAATTCCCACTGTCATTAGTCTGTTTGTATGCCTGTCTTTCCTTAATATCGAGAACGGAGTTAGGTAGATGAAAATCGAGACCAGATATGAAAAGCTTAGAGGTAAGATGCCCCAACGTTATTCCAGTTCGAAAAATTTTCCCTGAAAGGAGTTAGATAAATGGATGGCACGACGCTATTGCTAACAGGAAAACTATAATGTACAGGGGCAAGACATTACTAATTTGAGTATTTTAAATGAAATAAATTAAAAAGTTTTAAAATAAAATATCTTAACAGATGGCCAAATGTTTCCGGGAAAGTTAAGCAACTTTTTGCTAGATTTTTTTTTTGTGTTTTATATCACATCGGATGGAGTTAATTAACCCAATTTACTATATATTAACTGCTAACCACAATTACCTGTTATCAAGTAGATTAATCGTTAGTTAGCTATTTAAAGTAATTCAGACGTTAATAGTTTTAACGACTGTAGATTAATTTGAATTTCGAAGTCGAAACGACAGAGTAAACTGGAATCATAAGAGGGAACATGACAAAATTTTGTTAATATAATGAAGTTTGTAATGATCACGCAATTTCGTTACGACTATTAGAATCTACGTTGAGAAGTTTGAAATTTACTTTCTACCTCGTGCGAAATAATTAATTTAATTAATGAGCAATCTCGCATGCATAATTAAGTAATAGTAATATTTAAGGCAGTGTTACTTTTGCTCTTTCCTTGTCAGACCTTTACTTTTACACTAGGAAAAAGTGTGCAGTTGCCACTACAGACTGTAAAAGTGTAGTAATACCTACATGTAAAATATATCAATTAGCCTTTAAACCCTTTTTTAATATATGATACAATATACAAATATGTAGTACATAATTTTAATGAAGGATTATCAAAACACTTGAAACGTTTAATTCCTTATATGCCTCCTAAAGTGCATTTTGGTCCCTGATGTTAATGACCCTCATCAATAAGATAATCCTCATTTTATAATATAAAATGCAAGTAAAAATAGTAAAAAATGCGCATACACATGAAAATAAAGCAGCAAAGTATAAGGATCTTTAGGAATCGATATATGAGATTTTGTTATGTTAATTAGCTATTGGGAAGGTGGTAGTTATCTGCTTATATCCTTTGGCATAAAAATGAGTAACCGAAATTCACAACAACGAATTAATTAATGTAAATTTTGTGAAAATTCGCTACCGAAACATTACAACTGTTGCGAGTGGCATATGGTGAATGTGCTATGAAACCCTCACAGTTTAAGACCATGTTGGCGTGTGTCTTCGATCAAAATGGAATAAATAGTCCAAGAATTTATTGAACAGGGGTAGTCAACCAACAACGCTATTTAGAAGTATTGCAGAGATTACGAGATTCTGTTCGAAGAAAAAGACCTGAACTGTGGCCTGACAAGTTGATCATACACCA